TTTCCAGGCTACACAGAAAGCATGACTGCTCTTATGGAATGATTCTATAACCCAACAATTCAATATAAAATCCATACAGGACTTACAGGATGGGGTTACCTTCACTCTCACCCAGTCCCTTTATCAATATGGGATCCCAGTTTTTAAGATTTTGTATGAACCGGGAAAGAGGGTTGCTATGGAATTTACTTCAAGGTAAATAACTATGCCATCTGCAAGAATCAGTAATTCTCAGGCTGAGGGCAGCTCAGATGTGGCCCTAGAAGTCTGTCTTTGTAACACTGAATAAAATAAAATTCTTTCCAACCATTTAGTAATCTAAACTAGATTACAGCTATAAGATGATCCAGTCAAAACAAGCACCATGCAATGGCTGTAGAGTGAAACAGGGCATGTTAAAGTGTGTTGAATTCCACTTGCTGCTTATATATATCTCTACTGTAAGTATATTTCCTTAAAAGATTTTCAGATTCTAATGCAGAGAAAAGCTTGTTAGAGGCAGTGATGCAATTAGATATTTTCTGGATTGAAATATGCTTGCTCTTCAATGATCTAATACTTCAAACATTCACAATCACATGTGAATTTTCCACTGAGGGGATTTGTAATGTATTTTGAAGACCAAACAAGTGGAATAAAACTATAATTAATTTGTAATTAATACAATCTCTTAAAAGACCTTCCTCTTTCTTATTGATTTACATGAAAATTAATTGTGCCATTGCCTGCTGAAATCTAAACAGATGGTACTATAACACTTAAAAACAATCCTGCCACATACCTGCCTTTAGCTCTACAATGTTACAATTAACTTGAGCAGTGTAGATGAACTTCCCATCCCACACTGGTGGCATTTGTTGTTAGACTTTTAAATATTACATGAAGAGAAGATACTCTAAACATTTTAGACTTCTGTGGGGTCCTGAACTCTTTTTTTTATTAGTGCCTGAGAAGGTTTTTTAATTTAAATGATGGTTATATGCAGCTGAGTCACATGATCTAGAAGTTGAAGGTTGTGAATTCATTTGGTTTATTATTTGCAATGTGTTGCTTAATCTGTCATGAGGCAGGGTGGATTTTCTATTAACTCACGCCAGTACTAGCATCCTAAGTTCTGAATAGGCAGCAGGGCCCATGTCTCCTCTTGGGGTTGAAGTCCTAAAGAGACCCAAAGATAACTCATTATTCATATCTGTAAACAAACATTTTGGAGCCCTTGTCCTACACAGAAACTCTCTATGATCTTCCCAAACCTTGTGGGTTCCCCATAAGAAGAGGATTACCGAAATAAGATGTGAGGAAATTTCTATAAACCAGAGGCGGCTACTTGATAACAACATTCGGTGTACTTGGCAATGCTTGTAAGGTGTAATCTGACAAGATGATATCTGGAACTCTAGGGAAATGTGGATGTAAGCCACTCACCATGCATTCAGCACTATAATGAGAAACTCAGGAGGAGAAGAGGTCCTCAACAGAGGAGGATCTGAAGTGGCAGGAGCTGTAAGTGTTGTTTCATTGATGTTCTTCCTGGTACCTCAAGCTTGTTTAGAAGTTCTCCATGGAGAAAGTACAGTGGCTCATTGCAATATGATGGTATAGAGATTGTTTAAAGAAACAAATAAAGGGGAAGGTGGGAGAAAGAACAACAACAAAAATGAACCTAATATTACATACACTTTAACAGCTTTCTTTACTAAAAATAAGCATTTACAAAAGAGAAATAACAGCCATAAGGCTTCAAAGAGTTCAAGGACTGCAGATTTAGGACACTGAGACACAGATTATGAGAGGGAAAGAAGTCAAAGTCACATGTATGGGGACAATTCGCAGTATGTGAGTGCCTCTAAATAACGCTCTCTGAGTGTCTTCATTCCAACACTTCATTGGAGAGACTCTAGATAGTAAGATGTGTATGAAGAAGAATGTGAGAGGGATCTTGAGCTCTCACATATAAATCTAACATAAATCAAAATATTTTGACTTTAAACAGTGACTGAAAATTACTGAAAATGCTGTCTCTAAGTCAGAATAGACTTAGTTGTTAAGAGTAAATAATGTGAAGTTTGTTTTGTCACAGGAATTTGTGGTATTTGCTTTTAGAACTGGAGCAGTCGTGAAAGAAGATCCATTCTCATTCTTTTGCATGTGACATGAGCTGTATTCCTGAAACTAAGGCAAGAGAGCCTTCCAAAAGGAGTTTTGTTTTTCATCTTCTTTGCTTACCATCATATGTTTAATATGCAAAATAGGTGTCTGGAGCTTCCCCTTTCAGCTAACAATTACAGTAACTTCAAGACAGATGAAGCAACAGCACAGAAGTGTTCTTTTCTGCTTACTCTACTATAAAAACTGTTCTGAAATTAGATAAAAAGTTACATGCTGTTCAATTCAATCCCATACACACAAACCATACTAAAAGTCTCCCGTTTATCTTTCAGAAATGCCAGAATCCTTCCTTCCTCCTGAATGTTCCATTTATATAATTAGTTATAATAAATATTCATAAGTATCACTCACTCTTGGAGCAGTATTTTATTCCTTGTAGGCCATCAGTAGTTTTCACTTAACAAAAGTAATTTTTAAAGTCTTTTGTTTTCTTCTTTGGGTGAAGGCAAAACTTGCCCAGTAGTGTCAATCTATCCAAAAAGAGTGCTGAACATGTTCTTTATGCCAACCCCCTTGGTTTCAGGGCACACAAGTGCCCTTTTTTTGTCATGCCAACCTCTAAATCATGGGACTTTGAAAAAGGAAATGGGTCACTTGAACTGGCAATCAGGAAATGGCCTCAGAAAATCCTGAGTTTTTGTGGAAGGGCAACGGAAAACTGAAAAAACCAGGGCTTTAGAGCTTAGGTTATTTCTTTACTAGTCCCAGGATGTTCTCGTATAAAGGAGCCCCTAAGGATGTGGGAAGACCTTGTGTTAACCTCAACTAAGGTTGTAAGACTAGTCATGATACCTTATGTGAACTTAACCTGAAAACAAAGTTAAGTCAATCTAAGTATATTGACCTGTTGCCCAAATAAGATTAACCTTTGCTTTCACAGCACCTTTCAAGTATTTTCAGCAGAAACAAGATTATATTGGTGTTATCATACAGGACAAACATATGGCAAGAATTTTTCCAACGGGTTAAGAGTGAGCCTGGACATTCTGATAAAAGTTTTGTGAATCCAGGAGGTTAAAAGGACACCTTGAGGTATTTGTTGTGTGTGGGATTTATATCAGGGGGGATGGGGGGGGTCCCATGTTCCTTGGTATCTCGAGGATCAGGTGGTCGTTCCCTTCACATCTCTCCCAAGTTGCAGAGAACAGACATAAATACCCCATGCAGTTTCTTCTGGTCGAAATTCCTATCACTTATTGCCAATATCATGGCCAAGGTTTTTTGTTTCCGGTGGGGCTGTACAATGGTCTGACATCTCAACCTGAGGAGCATAGACATGAGGGGCTTCCCGGGCCTGCAGCAGGCCAGGGGCACCCCGAAGGGCTCACCTGCCACTTCTGGGCAGAAGCTGTAGGTTTCACAGAATCACAGAATCACAGAATCACAGAACGTTAGGGATTGGAAGGGACCTCGAAAGCTCATCCAGTCCAATCCCCCTGCCGGAGCAGGAACACCCAGATGAGGTTACACAGGAAGGCGTCCAGACGGGTTTTGAATGGCTCCGGAGGAGACTCCACAACCTCTCTGGGCAGCCTGTTCCAGTGCTCTGTCACCTTCACTGAGAAGAAGTTTCTTCTTCTTCTTCTTCTTCTGTCAGCTCAAGCTGCCATTTACAAACCACCCCCCTTAAACCACAGAAAACGCAATATCAGCTTGGCTGTTCTAAACAGTCCCGACCAAGATCTTCCTTGACCGCCCCCGTCGCACTGCGGGGCCGCAGCTCCTCCTGTCATCACGAGGCAGAAGTGCAGGGAACGGGAGCACCAGGCACGCTTCCCTC